ACACTTGCATCGGTCCCTGCGATAAAACAACCCTAAGGCCCTCGGTGGGCCAAAAAATCACGAAAAACCGAAACTTACCGGCGGCGGTGTTCTCGGGTGCGGCGACTCCTCCGGCGTGAGTCGCGTTTTGATATTTGGCTCCGATCAACCTGTAGAGAAAAAAACGGTGATCACAGTGGTATAAAATTTGCATCGAACGGAGGTCGGAAAGGGCCTCATCGGAGGCAAAAACAGAGGAGGGGCGCGGCGGCACCGCTGGGCTTCGGCTGGGTTTTCCAGGCATTTGGCCGGTGGTTTGGCTCTGGTTTGGCCATAGACGGACTCAGTATCGAAAAACGAGCCAGGAGGAGAAAATTTACCTCGATCGGCGGTCGGAAACTTCCCCGATGCAGCGGCGGGTGGCGGCAGCCGGCTCCTCCGGCATCTGGTTCTTCTTCTCCGGCGAGGCACTTGCGGCTAGGGTTTTTGTGGTCAGGTGTGGGTGGGGTTATTTATACCCTTTGCCTTTTAATCTCAACCGTCCATCAAGATTAAATCTGAACCGTTCGATTGCGATTTAATTGGGATTAAATCTGGGCCGTCTATCGCAATGCAATCTGAGCCGTCCGTGCGTGATTGAATCTGAGCCGTCCGTGCGTGTGAATCTGGGCCATCCGTGCGCATGTTTGATCTGGGTCGTCCGTGCGCGCGGGAACAGATCTAGGCCATCCGATCGCGCGCACGCGGATCGCCCACGTGGTCTGTCCCCTAGTCAGCGTTTCTTTGCCACGCGGCGTGTCCTGGTTGGCCGAGGCTGCTGATCGGGCCGCTGACGTGGCTGCTGACGTGGCACAACTTTTCTAAATTGCGTTTTGACCCCCGGTTTCCGATTTTCTTTTCAAAAACACCCCCAGAATCCAAATTTTCACTCATTTTTTCCAAAATCAATTTCAATTAAATTCAAATAATATTTTTACCCAATTTTATCATTATTATTATTTTTATTTTCATGAAATTAAATTAAATTAAATCAAATTAAATTAATTAAAAATAAAAAAATTCAAATAATTAAAAAATAAAAATAATAACACTTGGGTGTTACATCCTCCTCTCCGGCTTTCTGGTTTCACACTTGAAACTGGTCGAACAAGCTTCTCTTCGGCTTCTGTCTTCGTGCGGCCGTCATTCCAGACACGCACGGATGATTTCGCAAAACCTCTTCCTATTTTCTGTCGTTCCAGAAACGATCTGGCTTCTTTCGCTTCCCTACCTCGTCGGCCACACGCTGAATGGCCGAGGTTCGGTTCTGTTGACTGCCGTCGGCACAGTGAATAGGTTGTTCAACCCCTCTTTTGGTCTAATAGAATCTGACCTCTCAAAGCCTAACCCTAACCCTAATTCTAACTCTAATATCATTTAAAAAATTAGGAAAATATTGAATATTTCTTATGTTTTATTAAAAGAAGATTAAGGATATATATACATACAAATGGATTCATATATGGTAACCAACATAAATTATCCTATTAATTTTCTTTTTAATTATGCTAATATATTTGAAAAGTTAATCATGCTATTATATACAAAGAATATTTTAACAGACCCCTATGAAACCAATAAAAGGGACAGTGTCAACCACCTCCCTGCAGTGGCCGAAGATGGCGTTGGATCGATGATTACTATCTTTTCTCTCTCCTGATGCTGGTGTTGACTGATTTAGGAGTTTAGTATTTTTTTAATTTTCTGACGATAGTGTTGAGTTTTGTTAAGTTCAGTTGAGAAATTAGGGCAACGTGATGAATCGAATTTAAACTCTGATACCAACTGGTGTAGAACAAACAGATGTTGAATACAAACTTACAGAACTTTTATTAAGAATAAAATTTGAAGATCTCCAATCTAAATAATAAAAATAATATCTTAATATAATAATAACAATAATGAATAATCTACCTAATAACTAAGTTAAGATACCTTATTTGTAAACACTAAAGTACATCAAAATAGGTTATGTAAAAAAAATCAAAATAGAAAATGTAGAAAACTTAGTAAATAGGAAAATAAATTACATAGAAATGATTAGAAAAATAGGAAACTTAATAAACAGGAAATAAATTAAATTGAGAGAATTAGGAAAATAAATCTTACTATTTCCCTTTATTGTAGAACTTTAAAAAATTTATAAAAGAAAACTAAACCTCTCTATTCCTTTAAGTTAGCTTCTGAAAACATTAATGTTCATTTATTGTTTTGCCTCATATCTCCTATTACTGAGATATGCTACCTTTAGAAGTTTCTTACTCTGCATCACTCCTTCTCTCTTGTTGTGTGCTCCTCCTTCCTACTTGTATTGATAAATATTATTTTCCTTTGTTATTCTTTATTTCACACCAATCAAATAAAAAACAGTTTTCCCGTTGCTGGTTTTGTCAGTTTTTCTTTTGTTCATTAGGCGCAAGCTGAAGATATTACTGCTTGTTTGACCTGTTGCTGGGTTTCACCCTTCTTTGTTGTGCATTCTGAGGACTTTATCCAATTGATCTGTGCTTACAAGTTTGCCTGCAATCTTCATACCAATCTTGTTGTGGTCATTGTCAACCTTCTGAAGTCATAGTTGAGCCTAAAAACTTTCTTTCATTTACTTTTCTCTGAGAAGCTAAATGTACTAGCTGCAATACATTTTAACTAAATTCTGCTAAAACTTGAATTGCTACATTTAATTTTTGTGTTAACATTCTTTGGCAACAGTTCTACAGAGTTCGAGTTGGGATCCAGTCACCGGAAGGGATCACCACTACCCGATGTACATTGCGAAGATATAGTGATTTCTTGAAGTTACTTTCTGAAGTAAGTGGGAGCTTACTATGTATATTGTTAGAGACTGAATCATTCATTTTCCAGCATTGTAAAAGTTGCTTTCATTGAACAATTAAACAAATGTATTTGACTAAATAATATTACTGGTTCAATGAGTTTGCACATGCATCCATTCTTGTTCATTTGATTATGGCACTCATGCATTCTTGCTTCTGGTTGTTCTTCTTTAGCTTAAAAAGGAGTTTCCAAAGAAAGCTTTGCCCGTGGCCCCTGCTAAGAGAATTTTGAGAATTAAAAGCAAGAGATTGTTGGAAGAGGTACTGCAGATTTGTGAATTCTAATCTACTTTTTTCTCTCTTCCATGGGATTGTGAACTATTAGAATCAATTTTTGATTTTTTTGAGTTCCATAATGCATATGGCAACTATAGCCATGAGGTCTGTTGTGATAGCAATTGACTGTTGTATTGTTTGTCTGGAGGGAACTTATACATTTTTATTATATAAAGCTGGGCTGGTGTTTTAAATAGCATGACTTATGGTTCTATTTTTAGTTTTATCTGTACTAGAAAAAATTTATCGTGTAAAATTATCAAAAAACATATAGAAATTAAAATATAAAGCTAGTTTTGTTTCAGAGAATAATAATATATTATGTAATAAGGCAATAATTCGCTCCATTTAATTTGAGTAGACACATTCAGAAAAAAAAGTTGAGTGGAGAAGTCGTGTAGTTGCTACTTAAGTTAGTAGAAGGATGCGTCTTCTCCTTTCTCTCTAACTTCTTTTCACCACCATCTTCATCACCCTTTCTTCTTATTCATTTCTTTTCACCAACATCATCTTCATCACTCTTCCATCTTATTTGTTAATATTCAAGTACTCTAGTCACTAGACTATGTAGAATGATTCAATATGAACACAAATCTATTAGGACTCACTGACTTGAGTGTCTAACAACCTTGCAATTGTGGTTGTGAGAACCCTATGATTGTGGTTGTTATAAATCCATGTAGTTATGGATTAAATTTAGCTCTTCTTTTTCTATCTTTCTAGCCTCCTTTGCTATCTTAAGTTAATTCGTTATTAGAGCTTGGTTCGATGCAGGAACATGAAGGTTACTAGGCCTCCGTGCTTTTGCTGATGTCTAAAACTGATGAAAAATAAAAATATTTTAGAATGGACATACCTCAGTAGTATGGGGTATTTACTTTTTCTGAAAGGAAAAAAGAACACAATTACAAAGCACCAAGGTGGTGTGACCCATTTGCAAATATCTACTCATCTTTCTATGAGAAAAGATCTAGATATCAACAAACTCACACTCATCGCAGATGGGATGACCCAAAAACCAAATATTTGGAGTTCTAAACCAATGATTGTGACCTATGAGTGAAAGGGGTTGTAAGGTTTCTAAAAGTTCTATTGCAAATGATTCAGATAATAGTGTCACGAATGATGGACATAAACTTTCTTCCTAGATTTTGCATTTGTGATACCCTTCCAATCACAAATCTCATCCTTTATGAAGCCACTAGCAACCTAACTTGAATTAAGGAGACTAAGAATAGAATGTTGAGCCTTCTGGTTTTAGGAGACCAAAGCATAAGGTGGCTTGGTGATTCAACATCATCTTGACATAGAAAGCAACATTCTTTACTAAGTTGGGCTATTGAAGAGACCCCATAAATGCATTGGTGGGGGAGAATGATGGGTTACATAGGCTTTAATTAATAAAAAAAACTCGAGTCGGGGTGTTTGATTCAACTGACAATTTTCTTCTCCCTGTTTTGTTTGACGTATTAATTTATTGCACAAACAAGCATATTTAACCTTTTTTTTTTTTAAATAAACATATTTAACTTTTATTAGTTGTGTGCTAGTAATAAAATCCACTGCTTGCACCTCCTGGTTAAAAGAGGAAGAGAAAATCTTGCTGACAATTGCATCTTTTCATCTAGCAAGTGAAACACAACGGGAAACTGGTAAAGGAGGAGACTCAACTTTTGTGAGTCGTGGTCTCGTGGATAGGGTGATATCTTCTCCATTTTCCACGGGGGACAATCATGAGGAACAATTGGAATATTTAGACTTGCAGTTTCGCTTCACTGTAGTTGGTGATATTATGGTTTTATTAGTTTTAGTCTTTAATTCTGGGTGATTATGGGGAAATTGACCGATTTTTTTGTTGACGCCAAGTCCTCTGGAAATTTTAGAGGAGATATTAGTCCCAGAAGTTTGGTCATTTTGGAATTCTCTATTTGTAAGGATATTTAATTCGTTTGGATAAGGAGTGCTATGGTTGAAAAAACTTCTTTCTCTTTTGCTTAGACAACAATGTCAAATCTTTCCACTAGTTATTAGATAGCCGAATAGGTATTTTCTGGTTGAGAGTAATCAAGAATTCTTGGGTTGTTTTCTCGCTTTGTTAAGATGTAATGGATGACGGAGGAGAAACGCCATGTTTGTTCTAGAAGATAGGGTGGGGATCGGTTGAAGGAGTTTGAAAATACCACTGGTTGAGGTATCTGCTTCGAGAAAGAAACAACAACTTCTGAGGAGAGTAACGGAAATATTGGGAAGAAAGAAGAGTCGGTAGCGGGCAATGATTCTCGAAAATTGATGGAAGCTTTCATTGAGGAGCAGCTTATTTCCTTAACTTTTGAAAACTCAAGTTCAATTTTCAAAACCTTTGGTATCAAGTGAGAAATAAAGTGTGGGTAAAGAGGAGGGTTTTCTATATAAAGCAATTAAGGAAGATATTCAATTATTTGACAATCATTTGCTTTTAATTGCCGTTGACTTCCGAGAGTTTAGAAGGATCCAATTGTAGCAGAAAATTCGTAAGGATATAGCGGATATAGAGTTTCATTTTTGAAACTTTTTTCTAGACTGGCCCAGCTGGTGACCAGAAGGTTTTGTCGTCATGCATCGAGAAGCCCACAGAATGGAACCCATATCTTTCCCAGCCTATGTAACTCAATCATTTTCTTTTAATTGCACCGATGTCCAAGGGGTTAGAAGCATTCATTGCTAGTGGAATGTTCTTAAAAATGTAGAGGGGCACAGACAAAATTTCTGTTTTCAATAGAAAGTTTCCTTTTTTGAATTTTTTCTAGATTGGGCCGGGGCCCAGTTAGTGACCAGAAGGGCTGATTTCATGCGTTGGGAAGCCCACAGAATGAGACCCATATCTTTCCAAGCTATGCAGGTTCAGTGGATGGAAAAAATTTATTAAATTTAACCTATTCTGGAGTACTAGTAGCCCAAACAGCTTCAAATCAGAAATCCACACTGTGTTGAATTGTTATCTCCAAAGAAGGTAACAAGACTCATGATGTGACTTAGAAGCTCTCTAACTGGTGAGGCTAAAGATTTATTATCGAGTATTCTTAGAGAAGAAGAAGTTTTGGAGGGTGAAGAGACATCATTTAAGTTTGCAGGCAGTTCTTCAGTTTGGTCAAGCTTATGCTTCCATGAATTTCCACAAATCCATCACTCTAGGAACTGTTTTGGAGGAAGAGTACGGTGACTCAGTTCCTAGTGCTACATCTTTTGATGTGGAGGAAGATATTGATGGGTACCTTTTTTTGGGAAGATTCTTGGAGGAAGAAATGGGTATTGAAGACCCTTTTCAAGCTAGTAACAATTAAGATATGGAGGCAAAGACAAATTTTAAGGCTGGAGGGACTGAATATGCTATTTGATGCTCAAATTCCTGGTTATGGGTATGTCCCTTGGTTTCTTGAAGCTTCCAACACTTTTCTCCTGTGTACCTTGGTTTCTTGTAGAAGGTAGCTGAATATGCCGTGGTCTTACTGTGATTTGGTTACTTTCCTAGTTGACGTGGTTTGGAGTCTTTAGTTATCATTTCAGAGCCCTTAGTGGTGCGAGATTCAAGTATAATCCCTCTTCTACTTTCACCTGCAGTAAGCATATCACTTCTTCAGGGATGACATCTCTTCCTTCCCAGGATGTAAACTCTCACCTGATCATATTCTTCACTGAGTCCTGCCATAAATTGGTACAGTCTATCTTTCTCAACAAGTCTTTTCAAGACTGCTACATCTTTACTACTTTCCATATTGATTCTAGAATATTGGTTAAGTTCTTGCCATAATGTTGGCATAGATGTCTAGGCTTTGAAAGTCAAATCACATATCTAAGTTGCATGTTTTTCCTAAGAATAGGTTTCTCGGATTGAGTCCCAAATCTCCTTTGCTGTAGGTAGATATACAACTGTTGCCATTGAATTCCAAAGTCAAGCCATATTCATCATTTTTCCTCGTCTCAAACATCAAAAGTGAGATTTCTTGACTTTGGTCCAGTGCCAAAGATATGACTTAGCTCTCTCCTGCCCTTGAAGGGCGGTCCGAATCAGTTGCAATCAACTCAAGTAATCTATGCCATTGAAATAGTAAGCAGCCTGATTAGTTGGAATTCGATGTTGTTCTGTGCTAGAGTTTCCCATTGGAAAGTTTGTTTCGGTAGATTGCGGCGTAACTTCCGATATCTTTCAAAGGAATGCTTAGGCAATTAACGCCAATAAAAAAAAATACAGTTGGGCGGGGATCACGGCTGGCAAGTGGTGTGCAGAGGAATGGAATGGTTGGTTTGCAGGAGTGGCCTGCGGCTTTGGATTGAGGCTGCAGGAGAGAGGGAGGGCTGGGCAATTGAGATGCAGCTGGTGGCTGGCTTGGCCTGGCAGAAGCTGTGGAGATGCAGGTTGCTTTTGTTGCTGGTTTTGGTGGCTTTTCTGGGTATAGGCACGCGGTTCTGGTGCTGGCACTCCTTTAGCTGCTTCTGGCTGCGCAGCTTGGAGGACAGGGCCGGCTATGAAGGCTGGATTGTAGTGGCAGGAGGCTGATTAATGGTTGCAGGCGGCTCGACTGTGGTGGCCGTCTATGAAGGCTATCCCCTCTAAGGTTTTCTTATTTCGACGATGAAGGTCGTACAAGGTTTGTAAAAAGGTTTATGGTTTTTTATAATCTAGATTTTTGATACCATGTAGAGAATGAAGTATGAATTTTCTTGAATAATAGTACCCTATACAAACATGTTTATATGAACAATAAAAGAAAACACTCTTAATTATATGAGATGGGTATATTACTGATAAACCTTTTACCCTACTTATTATACAAGAACTTTTCCAACACTTTCTTTGTTGGAATATGAGTGATGTGGCCGGAGCGAGATGCTGAACTTTTAGAGATCGTTTCGCCAAATTTTTTATTCTCTGAGATAAATTCTGTTTTGGCTTCCTTTGGGCCAAGGTTCATGGGCATCTTAAGGAGTTATCTTTGTTCATTTTGGCAGACATTAGCTTGCTATGCTTTGTCAAGAGTAAATGGTCTTCTCCTTTTTTCTTGTTTTTTATATGGGAGGATATTTGATCCCCCATCTTCTTGTAATCCTATTTCTCTTATTAATAATATTTCTTTTTCCATAAAAAGAATTACTCAACAAATTCTGGTTACCGATAGATAATATGGCTTGCTTATTATATTCTGTGTGTTCTCTCTTATGGTCCAAGAAATGAAAATTTTTTCTCAATACATAATAATAGTATGATATTCTCAAAAGTGATTAGCTTTATGCAGCGGCGGTGTTGTTTGGAGGATTGGATGGGACAACTACTATCAGACATTGACATATCCAGAAGCACTCCAGTAGCTATGTTTCTTGAGCTAGAAGCTGCTGCAAGGTCTTGTAGGTGTTCCTTTGATACACTCTGCTATACCTTGGAACAAAAACTGAATAAAAATTGAATTTATCCATCTTTATTACTATTCAGTTATGAATATCAAGTCATGGTAGTAGAAGTAGAAAGTGGAACTAAAGTGAAAAATGAACAAGCTGTTGCCAAACTAATATGACTAAAATGTATTTTTTAGTTTTCAAATTTTCAGCATTTTTTGAGCCATCCTGAATTTTAAGCCATTCTAACAAAATTTTAAATTTTAATTAAGTTCTTGATGAATAAAGATTTGTTGCTAATATGACTTTTCTCTTTTTAATGCTTTCAGCATTCGATGATGTAGATCAGCAAATTACAGAAGCAAATTCTTCATCTAGTGTTGTCACTCCATTTCTGTTTGATGCCAGCTCAGATGTTTCCCTGGTTGCTGGTAGTGCATCAGTTGCATCTGATCATGATAATGGTTCTTCCAGTGACATAACTGAACTGGGAATGCCCAGGCTTGGGAAAGGTAATGATATTCTTGTAGAAGATTCAACTTGTGAGCAAAAATTAACTGATAAGAATTACAATTTGGGGAAGCTGGAAAGAGTTTCCAGGCAGAAAATGCAGACTGGTGGAGATATCAGAACCATAGTTGGAAAGGAACTTTCGGAAAGGATAGTCGAAGCTCTTCGTAGTGACAGAACAGAGCCTTTGACTGAAGTAGAGCATCAAAGGTTAGATGACCATGCTCAAAGATTCTCTATGGAAAGCATCAGAAGTGACTTAAGCTCTGCAAGAGCTAGTGAAGCATCAACTTGGGAATCTCTAATTTATTTGGTGATGACTCGCTGGACATCCCTGAAGGTGTTGAAGCTTCTACCTCCATGGATGCTCCTTTTAATGCATGTTTGCAGTCTGCAGATTTGATTGTTGCACTTCCATCAGATGAGAGACATAAATTTAACAGAATTCTTAAGACAATGCAACAGAGACTTGCAACAGCAAAGACAGATATGGAAGATCTCATTGCAAGATTGAATCAAGAAATTACTGTACGGCAATTCTTGACGACTAAGGTATGCTTGAGATAGTTGCAACAATTTCATGATGTTTCCCGCTGTTGATAAAAAGAATCAATATATCTACTATAGGGGTTGGTATATGCTTAGCATACAATGTTTTATTTCTTTTTTCTATGCCTTCTTGTTTTAATTTTTCTTGGTACTTAAAAATGCTTGGGCTTACTCCTTTAGGTAATTGATTATGAGAACTAAGTTAGTTTATTATTTGAAACCATTTCATTCATTCTAATCAAGTTAGTTGTCCATTTTTCTAATAGATCTTGCTGTTGGAGGAGAATTTATTAGTAGAGAATACTCGACAACTTATTTCCTTGTATACACCTGAGAAAATCTAGGGTCTAATATGATCTTTTACGCGGATTGGATTTTAAAGGTTATTTTGTGGTAATGAATTTTTTAGTAGACCTATTCTCTTGTGATGATGAATTTTTTGGGAGGTTTTGAACATTCTCTTGTAAGTGATAGTTTGGAGGTGTGTAGCAAAGGTGGTAGATTAAAATCCATTGAAAATCATATATCCTTATCTTCTAATATGAGCTCCTCTTAAGGATAAGGTTGGATAAAGTAAAATTCATATTCAACAAATATGACGTATGCAGACACAGTTTTTGAGTAGGCGGATGATAATATTTATACTCTTTTTTAGTGGAGGAGTACCCCACAAATACGCGTTTCGAGGCTCGTGGATCTAGTTTTCCTCTTTATGAGAGTGAATATAAACAAAGGCAATGCACCATCTGAGGGATCAGATAGTTTATGATACTTACTATTGAAAATGCTTGAAGAGAACTTTTGAAATTAAGAACACTTGTGGACAGACAATTAATAATGACGGTAGCAGTAAAGATGGATTCGCCTCAATATTATTTTGGGACATTGTTTTGGAAAAGGAAAACTCTGGTGGTGGTTAAAAAATGACTATTTTTTGTTCTGCTAGTCAGTTATGTTGTGGAGTATGGATGCATGATGATTTATGAAGAATTCTTTCTTGCTGTAAGAATGATGAAAGCGTTTCATTAAAAAATCTTTAGTATTGCCTGTATGAAATTTGTTTATGGATGTTCTAAATTAGTTTTTTATCATATTATAGAATTGGAGTATGATATAAATTACATCATATTTGGTTTTGAGTAAAAACAGACAGGTGACTCTAGTACAATCATTAATAAATGACAGAAACCATTAAACTCCAGAAATATTAAGTACGTGATATGGTCTCCTAATATTACTATGGATTACTGAAAATGGAACTACACTTCATTTATTACTAACAGGAAATGTTACATGCTTATATTTTACAAATTTACATATATATCCCAGTGTAAATTTTTATATTCCAAATTATTAAATAATGAAAAAAATATGACTTTTAGATAGAGAATGATGGTTACTCAAGTATTTTATAGTTGTAGAAATTTAGGAAAAATATTTACTTTATTTCCACTATGTTTTTGGTGTTACAAATAACTCATATAGATATAAGGATTCTTAAGTACAAATAAAGAAATTTCCCCTTATAATCGGAATTCTAAATAATTATAAGAAATTAATAGTGAGAGCTATATAAAAAAAAATATCACAATTATTTAGCCAACAAAATATTAATGTCAACACTCCCCCTTAAGTTGGTGCGAAATATCACACATGTACAACTAGCATATCAAGTTTTGAAGAGTTTTGTTGTAAAAGTTTTTAGTGAAGATATTTGCCACTTGATTGTTACAAGATACATGATATAAGTATAATAAACCATCAACCACTTTTTCTTTTATGAAATAACGGTCAATCTCAATATGTTTCGTCCGGTCATGTTGAACTGGATTTTAGGCAACACTAATAGTTGTTTTATTGTCACAAAACAATGATAGGTACCTTTCTTTAAAGAGTTTTAATTCATTCGTTAGCTTCTTCAACCATAATAATTCACATATCTCATGAGTTATTGCTTTATATTCTGCTTCAGTAATAGAACGGGCAACTACACTCTGCTTCTTGCTTTTTCATATAAGTTGCCACCAACGAATGTGCAGTAACCAGTAGTCGACCTTCTATCATCTGAAGATTCAGTCCAATCGGCATCTGTAAATGTTTCTATTTTAAGGGGCCATTTATGGAGAAAAGTAAACTTTTTACTAGTGCAGATTTCAGATATTGTAATATTCGAAAGACGGCATGTAAATAAGTTTCGCGAGGATCATGCATATACTGACTCACTAGACTAACTACATAAATTATATATGGTCTGGTATGAAAGATAAATGAGTCTTCCAACCAATCTTTGATATCTTCCCATGTCAATTGATGCACAACTGCTAGCTTGTAATTTGTTATTACTTTCAATAAAGAACTCTGTTGGCTTGCAACCCCTCATTCCAATCTCTTTTAATAAGTATAAGATATATTTTTTTTGAGAAATAAAAATTATTTTATTAGATCTAACAACTTCAATTTCTAAAAAGTACTGCATTTTTTCTAAATTTTTAATTGCAAATTCTCGGACAAAAAGTTCCTTTAATCGAGTCATCTCCTTTGTATCATTTTCAGTTATTACAATATCATTTACATAAATAATAAAAAGAGTGATCCTACCATCACAATGTTTGATTAACAGAGTATGATCAGCATTAATTTGTTGATATTCGAAAGAGATTATAGTTCTTCTGAACTTTTCAAACCATGCTTTTGGAGACTATTTTAATTCATACAAAGCCTTCTTTAATTTACAGACATTCACTTGTGTTCTTTCATCTTTGAATCCAGGTGAAATCTTCATGTATATCTCTTCCTCTAATTCTCCATGGAGGAAGACATTTTTTACATCAAACTGGTATAAGTCCCAATAAAGATTAGTAGCACAGGATAGTAATCTTCTAATTGTGTTCATTTTTGTGATGGGCGCAAAGATTTCTTGATAGTCAACTCCATAGGTCTGAATATACCCTTTAGCCACTAATCTAGTTTTGTATCTTTCAATCAACTCATCTGTTTTGTGTTTTACAGCGAACACCCACTTACAACCAATTATCTCTTTTTTTTGTGCAGTTGAAACAAGCTCCCATGTTTCATTTTCTAACAATGCTTTCATTTTTCAATTATCACTTCCTTTTATTTAGGATCTTGTAGAACTTCTCTCAAATCCTATAGAATAGACACAGAGGAAACAGATAAAACAAAAGTTCTATAAGAGGGAGATAGAGAGTTATAGGATATAAAGTTAGACATAAAATGTTTAGTACAAATTATGTTTCTTTTTGTAAGAGTAATGGGTTTATTAGATAATTCACAAGGCAAAAATGATTCACCAGTAGCTTCAGGAACTTAAGAAGATTTTTGACCTGGGATAGACTGCATGATGGTTTTTTCTGTCTTATCTCTCATTGAATACCTCTTCAAATCCGGTTTATTCAGTCGTCTAATATTTTCTCCTTGAATAAGATTTTCTGATATGGAATTCTCCGCTAAATATGACTGTCAAGAGTGACCAAAGTGGGCATCATCTCTTCCATTTCACTCTCCTCCGAAAGAGGTGTTGGGGTGAAACTGAAGTATGGTTTAGATTCTTTAAAAGTAGCATTCATAATCGCAAAGTATTTTTTAAATGGCGGATCATAACATTTGTAGTTCTTTTGAGTAGGGGAATATCCAACAAATACACATTTGAGAGCTTTAGATTCTAGTTTACTCACATTTTTAGTATCGATAAAGTAAACACATCCAAACATTTTGGGGGGGAACAGTATAGGAATTTATGCCTAACAACACTTGAAAAAGACTTCTAAAATTAAGAACTCGCAAAGGTATTCTATTAATAAAATAGACAGCTGGAGAACTGAATCTCCCCAATAACTTTTAGATAGATTCATTGTGAACATTAATGACCGAGTTACCTCCAATATGTGTCTGTTATTTCTTTCAACATCCCTTTTTTGTTCACTAGTGTAAGCACAACTTGTCTGGTGAACTATCACATTAGACTCAAAGTAGGCACGGAATCTACCATTCATATATTCTGTACCATTGTTTGTTCTTAGAATTTTAATTTGAGTATCAAACTGTGTACATACCATTTTATGAAATGACTGAAAGCATAGAAACACATCACTTTTGGCTTTCAACAGATAAATTCATATTAATCTAGTGCAGCAGTCAATGAAAGTAAAGAACCATCTATGGTCATATAAAGATGTATTATGAGTACGTCCCCAAACATCAGAATGAATGGTCATAAAATGAGTACGATTTTTATGGTTACTCATATGATATGAACTGTTTTTATATTTAGTTAGCTCACATGCATCACAAATAAAAATTCATAAAAATTCTT